AATGCAGCAGATGGCGATATTGCATCAGTAAATGTTGAGAAGGAAGCGGAGCAAAACTGATATTTTATTTAACACTAGATGGAGCCTCGACTTGGAGAGAGAATTTCACACGTCCGTGGAATATAAACCATGTGCAGAGTGGCCGCCATCTTGAACCGGGATTCCCTCCCCGCCCACCACCAACAAATTATTAACACGCTAAAGCCATATTAATACCATTTGCTTTGCTGAAAACAGAAAACCAGTGTGGGTCGAAAGTGTTTATTCGTTGAAAAATATTTAAAGGAAATAATAATTTGAAAAACAAACACCCGTTAGATGCATGAGACCCACATGTTATTCAGTACTGTATTAGTAAGGAAATAGCACTTTTGTAAGCAGAAAAACAATCTTACGTTTTAGTCACTGGGCACGCAATGACAGGTGTTGGCAAGTCATTAATTCACATAATCAATCACGGTGTCACATCAAAGCTAAAATTGTCACATACAGTAACAGCAAATTAAACAATATACAAACAAAGAACGAAACAACTAAAAGAACGACCGAATAAATAATTGAGACAAAACACATATTTAAACTGTTTTTTATAGTCTTAATGCCGCAAAGCATGCTGGGAACGCATCCAGTCTCCTCGTGACACATACAGTACAATACATTATGTATTAATAAATTATACTAATGAAATATATACATGATATAATATCCAATACATTACCTGTCGTATAATAAAGTAAAATTAGTCGAATACAAACATTACAATATGGCACAGTATTGCATATACTGTACTGTAATTGAAATATAAACAATGTTGACTCATTTTGTTTCTCTTTCAAATGCTGCTGACATGGCACTAAAATCCATGAAATGGCACCAATATAGTATTCTTTTGATGAAAACTGACGTTTTTAAATGTAGTGTAGTTAGAATTTCAAAAATGTGGACATGACCTTTGACAACAACGAAAAATGGTTGTTTGTGTCAAATTGTGCTTATTATTCTATTTATTATTCTTAGCACAGCCATCTTATCTATATTTTTGAATGGTGTACATCGAAACAGTAACATTCATTTTGTGAATGCGAAGCCTTTGTTTTTCTTCTTTCTTCTTTGTTTTGTCACTTTGTGTTTGTTGTTACGTCGTGTGGACCTGATGTGATTAATAAATTATACTAATGAAATATATACATGATATAATATCCAATACATTACCTGTCGTATAATAAAGTAAAATTAGTCGAATACAAACATTACAATATGGCACAGTATTGCATATACTGTACTGTAATTGAAATATAAACAATGTTGACTAATTTTGTTTCTCTTTCAAATGCTGCTGACATGGCACTAAAATCCATGAAATGGCACCAATATAGTATTCTTTTGATGAAAACTGACGGTTTTAAATGTAGTGTAGTTAGAATTTCAAAAATGTGGACATGACCTTTGACAACAACGAAAAATGGTTGTTTGTGTCAAATTGTGTTTATTATTCTATTTATTATTCTTAGCACAGCCACCTTATCTATATCTATATTTATATTGCACTTAATTGAATGGTGTACATCGAAACAGTAACATTCATTTTGTGAATGCGAAGACTTTGTTTTTCTTCTTTCTACCCAATCTTGCTGCTGTAGACTGTAAATTTCCCCAATGTGGGACAAATAAAGCTTATCTTATCTTATCTTATCTTATCTTATCTTATCTTATCTTATCTTATCTTATCTTATCTTATCTTATCTTATCTTATCTTATCTTATCTTATCTTATCTTATCTTATCTTATCTTATCTTATCTTATCTTATCTTATCTTATCTTATCTTATGCTTGTGCTGCAGAACCAGTAACTATTACCATACGGACAATGCAACTAACAGCCAAGGCGATACGTTATGAAAGCCTCGATCAAAAAATATACCCACGTGTCAATACTGATCACGAATTCAACGAGCAGTGATTAATTTACTACAGTACAGCGAGACTCCCGGTTGAAGATGGCGTCTAGGTCCTCACGTCGTCAACCAGCAAATGCTCACTCTGAAGTCGTAGAAGAAGAAGCACGTGTGATTGGCGCTTTCATGTGGGCAAGATGGCGGTGGCCGTGCGGAGCTTACAAGACCAGATTGAAAAAGCCAAAGAAAGCTTGAAAAATGTTGACGATAATATTCGTAAATTAACCGGACGAGATCCCAATGAATTCAGGTAAAACCTCCCAAATTTAACATCGCCTTTTTTTTAACCCAATCGATTTAGCATTGCACACAACTGAGGGTGGGAGTGGGCTAACCTTGTTCGTTTGGCTAGCAAGCAAACGCTCGCCCTGCGCGGCACTAGTTTCGTGTTCGCGCTCCACATTCAAGATCAAGTATGTTAGTGCTGCTGGGGGTTAGGCTACAATGATAACAAAACCACGATGAATGCAAGTAGTCTTACAACGGTACGGGGAGTCTACGTCGCTCCCGAGTGTAGGCCTGGGATTCTTTGTTTAGTACTACTACTGAATTTGAACCAGAATGTTTCTATATCGATTCGCATCCACCACACTGACTTCGATTTATTTCACTTGGATACACAAACTCACGGATTCCCTCCCCGCCCACCACCAACAAATTATTAACGCGCTAAAGCCATATTAATACTATTTGCTTTGCTGAAAATAAATTTCCCCAATGTGGGACAAATAAAGGATATCTTATCTTATCTTATCTTATCTTATCTTATCTTATCTTATCTTATGCTTGTGCTGCAGAACCAGTAACTATTACCATACGGACAATGCAACTAACAGCCAAGGCGATACGTTATGAAAGCCTCGATCAAAAAATATACCCACGTGTCAATACTGATCACGAATTCAACGAGCAGTGATTAATTTACTACAGTACAGCGAAACTCCCGGTTGGGTTATCTTATCTTATCTTATCTTATCTTATCTTACCCAATCTTGCTGCTGTAGACCAGGGGTCCCCAACCTTTTTTGCCCCACGGACCGGTTTTTGTCTGACAATATTTTCAGGGACCGGCATTTAAGGTGTGGCGGAAATAATACAACAAAATAATATGGTATGAGCTGCATGAAAACTGTGGTGTTTTCGAAATATAATAATAAACACAAGGAGCGTCTAATCTGGCCGCAACACTCTGATCGCTATGGTAATGTTTAATGCCTTCAAAATATGATACAACGCAAATTCAAAGTGCACGAATGTGACGACTCACCACAGCCCCGAGCTTGATTTTCTGCAACCAGACGGTCCCATCCTGGGGTAATAGTAAACAATGACACCTAGAATATTCAGCCATAACTTTAATCCAGTTGTCTCGAACGTACTTTTAAGGCCGCCGTCATTTGCGCTCTCCAGCAGTTTTATTACTCATTTTGCGAGCTCTAGCGTTTTGTTTTTAGCGTAATCGGTCACGTGACGAAGAAGCGCGGCTTGACGTGTGTCAAGCGTGACACAGGCGGAT